ATTTGACGAACGAAGGCTCAGCCCGTTTTGCCCCAGCACTAGAGAACATGTTTAACATGAATGTCGTATTGAAGCCAAACGACTGGACAACAGACCAACAGACGAGGCTCTTCATCATGCCGTTTCATACCAAATGAGAGCCTCCTCAAAAATGCTGTCTTAAGGCAGTCATCGAAACCCGGCTAGTCGTCGTGGCTACAATTACTGCAAGCCGGCAGACCGCCCCGGCCACAGCTCTTACACCCTTGACGGTCTGCTCGACAGAAGCGGCGAACAGACACAAAAGGCTTCACTCGACGACCGACTATACGACAAGCCATAGTGACGGAGACCTCTTCACCTCATTGAGCCTATCGTTCCACCGGAACCCGCAGTCGGACGGCCTCATGACCACCAGACGCCCAAGTACATATCGATTTGGGGCAGAGGCATAGACAAACGAGGGTTGAGAGGGGAAAGATGACCCCAAGATGCACATGTACATGCGTTGAGCCGGAGAATTGTGTTTAGGTGCCGAGGCAGAAGGGCAGAAGGTAGCGGACATGAAGGCCAGAAGGAGCTTGCCTGACAGACACACAACAGGCATGCAGTGGCCAGAAGTGGGAAGTGACAGGCGCGGAGATGGCAAGAGATAGAGGGGCTGGGGGGAGGTCATATGACCGGGAAACTTTACGACTGGCTGCAACCGTGTCTTGGGCAAGACAAAGAAGGCAGACGAGGCGACTGCCTCGTCGTCTCATACACGAGCGCTGAGTGTGTCCTCGGAACTGAGGCGGGCTGGGATACGTGGACGGCCGGAATGATGGGGAGAATGGCAAGAGTGTGGAGGATTTCTTCCGCCCGTGGGCCCTGGAGCAGAGTGAGTGGATTCCGTGAATGGATTCATGGATGGGCCAACAAAGGAATGATTCATTCACTTCATCTAGAGCCTCTATTTTCAAGCCGTCAGGCCTGCACAGACGTACTTACACAAATAAATAAACATTTTGCTTAACGTGTTGAAATCATACACTGCACTGTCATGATTCGAGTCCCACCGGGGACGTGACAAGACCTAGGCGAGGTGGAAACTGCAGTCCACTCCAGCCCGGATGATAATGACTTTTTGGAAAGCAGGGCATAATTCACCTACCAGCCCTAAACAAAATAGAGCGAATACCCTTAATATATAAATATTTTGTTAGTCTCACAATAAGTCAATAAATAAACAATCAAACCTGCATACCAGCGTCAGTGCCCGCAGTTGACCAACATTCATGATGAGCACTTTTGAGCCACACAAAGTGATGTCAGCTGAATTTTCCCACAATCATGTGAGTAGACCTCACTTTTCGTACAGTCTTGCCTCTCCAAAAGATATTCTCATCCAAGCTTGAATGGATTGCAGTTTCTACCTCGTCTTAGCGTCGCTTCAGGGCTCGAACCCGGTTCGAGTAGCGGATAATCTCGAGATACTATCAGAGCACAACATCGCCACGAGTGCAGTTGGGTCGTAGAACAGACGTGCGTTTTGCCCTTACAATAAACCGTGCTACTTATACTTACAATTAGTAGTAGCTTTCGAAAACCACACAGTAAAAACATAAATAACCTAGCCAGTTATGATAGCAGAATACAGGTTGACAATTGACACTGTAACATACTCTGGGTGTCAACACTTTTTTCGAGGCGAGGCTGGACAGAATTCAATAGTATTGGAGCTTACTTTTCTCGGCTTTTCAACACCTAACGCAAGCATGCGTGGCTCCAGATCGTCTTTAAGTTGACCAAGTCTCAAAACAAGCTTGTATTTGAAATAAATCATCGGTATCTTTTTCCTATCATCAGACAAGGAGTTTGCCTAGAGCACAAGTAGAGCAGGATCGAGCATGTCCATGAAGTGCTGTGCAAAAATGTCCCTATTACAGCCCATCTTGAGCATAGAAAATAGCTCGGTTCGACACGAATAGAAAACTAAGGCTCAGTGAGATTAGCGAAAATAAAGTTTATAAGCTAATAATGTTATTACTTTAAGTAGTATATACAAACAAGTATGCAGAAATGAAGAATTTTTGACACGAGTATAGAACAGAGACTGTGGGGCATTTCATTTATAGGGAAAAACATGCTCTAGCAGAATCATTTGTTTTCATTTCGAGATAAAGTGCGTTAATAAGAAAAAATAATGGCTGGTTCGCCTCGGTGTGATCGGCATACATCCATGTATACTTTCAAAGGGAATGAAATTCGGGTTAGTAGATAGATTGAAAACTGGGCCCTCTTTGTTTATACGACCTCGAGGGAGTTGAGATTCAACGCACACACTAATTCCCTAGCCTCTCAGACAACAAAACTAAGGTTCGGAGTTCAAAGATGGCAGATGCTGTGAAGCTAAATTGGACTTCACTGGACTAGTTGAAATGTGAAATTCGAACCCTGTTGTTGATCAGTTTGGGGATCCCAGCTAGAGGAATTCTAAGGTTCGATTCACCTAAAATGTTAGGGGACTTTCGTTTCGTATGAAAGTTAATGAAGAATACATTCGTTGGTCGATCTCACCAAATGCAGGCGGATGAATCTCGTTGTACTGCAGCCGTTTGGCTTTTATACGATGTTCATGTTGACGCAGT